GTAGAAAAAACGCATGAAAATTATCGCACCACTACGCAACTTCGTGAGCCATTAAAGAATGACAAACCACAAAATCGTTATATTTTTTCACGTCACTCCCATCGATAATTTGCCAGAAAAATGAAAACAACGTCAATTTTGGCTAAAAGGGTGTCGAACATCCTTAATTCATATCAAGGGATATACCTTAATATTTAAAAATATACATTCACTTACTGTCTAGCCACTTCGAGTCATATTTCAGTGTCCTCTTGAAGCTGTACGCCTTGCGGCCAATCGTCATGTTGTAAAGATCAGCCCGAAATATAACAGTATCCGCCTTTGTAAATTCGGCATTTGTTCCGGAGTAAAGTGCGGGCAAATCGCCAGGATTACCCTTCTCAACCCAAACTGCTGTTGAATTGTCAGCAGGGTCGTAAGGACACTTGGCAATGCCCATCCCAATGCCTGGGACAAATTCGTGACGTGGGAGGTGAGTTAAATTACTCTGCAACAAAAAAAAAACAGACAGTGAAGTAAAACTATTTAACAAAAGGAGGAGGGAAGAAAAAAGGAGGGCGACATAAATTGGCGCTCAATAGGTGTTGGAAGAAGGCATTTAGGGGGTCAGGAGGAAAAAACGGAAGCAAGGTACAGGCAGTTTCGCGGGTCACTACTGTGCACCGGGGACTCGTAAGCTTCGACAACTTGGGACTCGTATATATTCGTTGGGATCGTTACACGGATACTTGAGTTGCTTAGGAATTGATGGTGTGAGTGGGATGATGCGGAATAAAGGAGTGTGGAAGACAGGGAGGAGGAGAGAATGTTTGCATTTTCAAAGCGTGCCAAAATGTGCGTTTCGAAACAGAATATTCAGCTTTATTTCACTGAAATTCATCAATTCTTGAAATCTGTCGTTTAAACTGATGAGTGGACTACAATTTTTAGGAAATCATAGAATTTGAGCGTTTCCCGGAGTTTTAATGCAAGGAACTGTAGTTTATTTTACGTTTTCGGCAAAGATGAAATATTAAATACGCTGCTAGAAAATTATTCTTGAAATTTCAAGTGAAAAAGCTTGAAATTTTTGACAGTAACAAAGTTACATGAAATTTCTGTATATTTTTTTATTGAGAAATAAGTTAATTTTTTGAATATGTAAATCTCGATTTTCAGGTCCATTCGGCACTGAAAAACCTTGAAAATTTTGAAAACAGGCAACAACTTTACATATTCCCTGCGAACCATTTGGGTAAAAAAATTAACTAGGAGTTTAATTTCGTAGTTAATTTTTTAAATTTATTTCAATGTTAATCAAAAAATGAATTACGAAATTAAACTCCTAGTTAACATGATTAATTAACTGGGATATAACTAGGATTAACTAGGATTTATGATTAATTTGATTCATTTCAAAGTTGATCAAAAAAATTAACTACTTAATTTTTCTTCAATTCTTCGATGAAAATCTGAAGAAGATAATTGGATCACTCCGATTTCCGTGATGAAGGCCTTCACCATAAAAGACAATAATTCCAAGAGAAATATTCTCCACTTGCGGATTATTTCACCTCTTGGAAGGAATAAGAATAGAGATACTTACATAAATCACCCAATCCTTCGGTGAGTGAGCATTCGTGCCGCAGATGTAGAGGCGTTTACCATCGTTCATCGGTTGAATGACCCTCACGTGATTTCGGCAATCGAAATGCTGCAAATACGAGAATTCGTTTTACTAACCGTCGCATTAGTTGCATTTCCATTTGACGAATGAAGAATTTTAATTAATGGATAAATTTCCGGGACTGTGGTATCAAGATTCCGTGGAAATTCATTGAATCCATCAATCAAGACGTCCTAAATGAATTATGCTCAGCAAAAATGGAGGAACATCCAGTCGGTTAATCGAGTCCAGGATGAGTGTATATCTCATGAGATGAATATTACCAGCGACTGAATTTAATCAATCAATTTCGAGATTTTCCAGGAAATTATAATATGATTAGATAATATTTGATATTGGATATTACTCTCGAATTCGTTCATTGAACTCAGCTCATTATTATTATAAATTTACTAGTGGTATTCGACGATAGGGGATTCAATACTCGATGAAAATGGAAATTTCCAATTTATTTATAAATTGAATTTAGTACTTTCCATTCATTTGGAAATCCGGTGACACAGTGATTGTTGATTTCAAGTGATTTCAGGGAGATTTCCATGATTTCATGCAATCATTGATTTCATCTACACGAAAAACAAAACCTGAATTGAATATGAATTGGGGGATGGGTATTTCAATTCGAAGATGATTCTTTTGTATCAGGCCGGGTTAGCAAGCCCTCTTAAGTGTAATATAAGGGTCAGGCACTAAGTGTCAGAATATAAGGGTCAAAAAGAGAAGGTTAAAAAATGAGGGTCAGAATATAAAAGTAACAAAGTGGGTGTCAGGCAATGAGGGTCTAAATATAAGTCATATATTATGCTTGATCACCGTTTTTAGCCCTTACATGACCCTCATGGCCTGACGCCCACTTTTTTTACTTTTATAATCTGACCCTCTTTTTTTAACCCTAACATTCTGACCCTCATTCCTTCACCTTTACATTCAGGCCCTCAATTTTTGACTCTAATATTCCGACCCTCATTTCTTAACCTCCAATTTTTGACCCTTATATTCTCACACTTAGTGTGTGACCCTTATATTACACTTGAGAGCGCTTGGTACAACCCGGGCTGAAACGAAATAATCATCCTCGAATTGAAACACCCATCCCCCATCTGAGTATAGTGATTTCGCGATTTCAGACAATTTCAAGTGGTTTCAAATTTTCGATTTCATCCATTTGGTGGAGTAGGAGGAATGAGGATAGTTCCCGGAGGGAAAGAAATGCATCATATTAATAGTACTCACCTCGGACTTTCCTTTCGACACGCAGTTGGCGACGTTGCTCGGCTCGAGATTGAGAGCGTCTCTCTGCAAAATAAAAATAAAAATTCCATGAATTCTCCAAATTCGTTGCATTGATTACTCAGATGTGTTCTTAACTCTTGAGCATGTATAGTTCATTTCATTAGTGTGCTGAGTTCGCTGGAGGAGCGAGGAGTGAAAGCCGAGCTGAAAGGAGATAGTCCCTCTTGCATTCTAATTATTAACTTTTAATAGTCCCTGAACGTAATGACAAGGTGCACTCCGCGCTCACCTTTTTCGCGCTAATTTTTCACCCAGTTTTCTCTTCTTTTCTTATCGCAATTTTTAGGAGCTATCAGCGGAGCTCAGGTCCAGGAGTTGCAGACATTTTTCATTCCAAAAGTACGAATATGTTCGTATGTCATTTATGGAAAAATCAGAATTGCAAAGAAATAGTTTCTTTTTATTTGTTTTCTCACTGCACCTTCAAACAATTGATTTAACCAATTATTAAATCGATAAATGCATTGGGAGCATCAGAAAATCTAAAAAAGGTGACATTTCCAATTGTTTTCAGATTTGCTTGAAAGTTTGACCCAAAATTCGTGCTGTCAATTTATGGAGTTGTTAATTTATGAGAAAATGAGAATTGCAGTAGAGAATGTCTGAGTGATTGCAGTCGCATGAATTAAAAAGTTGATGCTTTGTCATACAGCGAGGATTTTCTGGGATTAATTAACAGATTTCAACAGTTGTGTTGACATCTACTCCCGACCTGATATCTTCCTCATTAAATACAGAGTTGACATTTTGACAAAATGCCTTTCAACCCAATTTTCAGTGTGTCTTCATCAATCACTATTTACATTCATTCAAGAAAAATATTTTTTTTTATTTGTGGTCTCATTGAAACTTCAAACAGTTAATATTTCATGGTGAAGGAAGAAAGCCCTAGAGAGCCTTGAAAATGCGTTTATCGAATCTATGAATGTCGTGAAAACATGAAAGGAATCCCGGAGAATGTGAAATTTTTATTCATTCTCTGGTGTTATTTTTTTTCAGAATTTTATCCTTAAAAATCAGAGAAAAACATCAATTTACAATTATTTATAATTAAATCTAGAACAACTGCACCTGAATGAACATAAATTTGAGATTTGAGAAAATCTCGAACATTAGGAACATTTGTGTCCTTCAACTGAGAAAACTCCTATTCTTGAATTGATAATTTATAACACTGAATTTTCTGAAGAGAAGAAAAAAGTTGGATAAAAATTACCTAAAAAATCAATAAAATTCAATGAAAAAAAAAGTTTGTGGACCAAATTTACGATTTCTTCGGTAAAAAAACACATCTATGAATGCAAAAATTATCCTCGCACTCATCTAAAGGTCATGGAGGCGAACGGAAAGGAAATTTTACCGAACGCGTTCATTGGGACAATTTTCGATGGAATGCAGAGTAAATTTCACAGTTTAGACACAAATTATTTTCACGTTCAGTAAATTTTCCCGGGCCAACGGAGAAAAATTCTGAAAAACTATTGAAAATTGATTCCGCTTCACGATTACTTACCAAAATTAATAATTGTTTTGAAAGCTAAAACCATTTTTGCATCAAGGACTATTCACGAAGTTCTCTCGTCCCCCAATAAATAACCTGACCTTTAATTAAAATACCTCATCAAAAGCAGGAATAAACCCTAATCCAATTCCCGGAGCCCCGAACTGAAACATATCGAAGTAGAATCCTCTCCAAAAAAGGATGTCACGCAATCAGCGCAGTGAATTCCAATCCAACATCTCCCCCTCAAAAGATGCATAAAATCCACTAACGAGTATCACCCGTTGATATCCCAGTTCTCATCCACCACAGACGCACACAGAAGCGAGAGACTAATGGAAACGGGGAAGAATGCACAAATGACACAAAAATTCCGGACTCGTCTCTACCGTGTCATACATGCGGTTGAGCTTTTTACTTGTGGAGGTGATTAAACGAGAGGGAGAACATTAACGAGTGAATGTGCTGGAAAACTTTTCCCTTGACTCGTTCGGCAATGGCAATATACGGCTCGACCTCATCATCCAGAGCGTAATCAACTGCAGTTTAAAACTGTCCCGAATGAGCGAAAGCTCGGAGTTGAGATGAAAAAAAAATTCAATTGTAACTTCATCATCTGTGATATGAATAAAGGCCGAAAGGCGAGCAACTCTCTGAAATTCTCATTTTCACTGCACTAGAAAATCTAATGTCTGAAATTGAGACGTTTGTTCCTTTTTTAAGAAGTTTGTTTCCCTAAATTTGGGTCATTTTAGTGGTTCAAACTGAGACATTAAGACATGTATTCTGGATATTCTACACACAGAAAAACGATTTATTTGAATCAAATCAATTTTTTGTTTGAACTAAATAAATATGTATTTGATACTAGTAATTTATTATCGCTTTGAGATGGGAATAAACTCGAGAAAGATGTTCGACGTGAGGATATTTTATGCACTGAGAGAAAAAAAAACACGTTGTCAAACGAGTCTTGTTTGGGCCAACAAAATTGCTAATTGAAAATTGCCAAAAAAGAATTTGGTTGGTTCGAATTTGAAAGTCTCAGACACGAATAATTGTTCTGCTTTCGATAGCAACGAAATATTTGGCTCAAGAGGTGGATAATTAAATATTTGTCATGATCATTAGAACTATCCCTAGAAGAATTCATGTTTTGGTGGAAACTTTTTTTGTCCACAAGTAAATTGATTCGCCACGACAAAAGATCTCTTCAGGGCCATTCGAAATTTCAGACAAATATTTATGTCTAATGGCCTCCATTCACTTGAATAAAAATTAAAGAATAACGTATCGATTCTCTGAAAATGCCGGCGTCAAAGGGAAAAAAGGGACGGAGAGGCTTGACGTATGATGCGCAGCAACGTACACATTACTGTCATAAAATATTGAGGTGGAAAAACGTGCGTGTCTCATTCCCGGGGGCATCAACACCCCGAGAGACTTGACAGGGGTTAAGGGAACACCCCGATGGGTTTTGGGGTGCGCTGTGGGTACTGTAACTGAACTGAAAAATTCAGGAGACCAACACCACTAGCGCGTTGCGCCCTTTTTATCTCATAAAACATTAACTCACATTTCGGAGGGAATTCTTTTTTTCGCTACGTCGTGCAACTCGCGGTACATTTATTCTCGTGGTTTTTCATGGAGGGGAACTAAAGGAGAGAGGGGAATTTTTGGATTAAGTATTTTTTTTTCTTCATTCACGAGGCAACAACCTTTTTACTTCCGCGGTCTTTGTGAAATTTGATAGTATTGTTCAGAGGTAGTCGAAGAGACTTTGCGCAGAGGAAAACAATTTTTACCTTTCAGAAGAAAAATATTTACAATTGAGCTTCAAAAATCGTCTTAATTTCGTTAAAAAATGTTCTTAAAATTAAACAATTTACATTTTTAATTTGAGAATATTCAGCGGAAATAAAATTCTGGATTAACTGAAGATTGACAGGTTCCAGGGGAGCTGGTGTATGTACCGTCCACCTAAGGGGAATGTCTTTTTTTTCCAGCCTCGCACTCTACAAGGAGTCATAAACGGTTAGAATGGGTTCTTCGAGGTGTTTACTCGAAGATGTGAAGAGGACAGATTTTTTATTAACACTAAACGTATTTAATTTTGTAATTCAATTGCCATCGGCCAGTGAGCGATGGAATCGAACTTTGAGGGTAATACCGCCCGGCATGCGTCCAATACCGCCCACATTGTTTTCGTGACTTTTTTGAGCAATGCAGACCAACTGTTATAATTTTTTCTATTTTCATCCTTTGTTTCCATTCTTTAGCTCCATTTTGAGAAAGATTTCACGTGAATAATAATAAATTATCCTGAATTTACCCGATGTTCCAGTGGCCACCGACTACCCCAAGCAATCGAGCTGTCACTCGACCGCCCTCTAGCTGCAGAGTCTGGCAGTCCTATAGAAATCCTGAGTGGCATCACCCACAAACTCTGGCCCGAATTACCCACAAACGCGGAGGCTGATAAAATAGCCAATAATAACTGATGAAGATATTTTTCTGCTATCGAAAATGTCGCAATGGATGTGGAAATGTATAACGAACATACATTTCGCACTCCATTCAATTATGGACCAGCTGGAAATTTGAAAAATCTGAAATTCTGGGGTCGATATATTTTAAGAATTCGATAGGGAATGATTTGGATTTTTTTAACGATTTTTCCGCTGTATAAAATTGCGAATTTCTGTTGGAATTACTTGTTTTTATCGAATATTGGGATAATAAAAAGAAAAAAATGCTCTCAGCCAATCCTGAAAGAAACAGGTAGGCTATTCTTTCAAAAATTTTCAATACCTGAGTAGATTAATTTTACAAGAGGAAAAATCATCGATTGAGGGACCAGAATCTTCTTAATTCAAGTAAAACTATACTGAATTTAAAAAAAATCCTGAGAATCAAAATTTTTTCATTCAATTTTTAATAAAAATTTTCTTCGAAGAAACGAAAGTTTCTCATCAAATTGAAAAAGGCCCGTTCTACCCCAGTTTGTCTTTCAGAAAGAGAAAAAAAAATCATGCGATGGAATCCGTTTCTATGAAAATCCGTAAATAACTGGGGCCAAACAGGTCGTCATTATCTCTCTGAATTCTTCTCTTGAATTATTAAAATTTTTGTCATTAGTATCTCGCCCCAAGTTGAAGAGCAAGCTCATCAGCATGACGAGTATTCTCATGATTCCCATCCACCCCGCGATTGAGAGATTGAGGTAAAGCTCCGAAGAAAACGCGTGAAGTGGCTTTCGATGTCGTCCAATGCAATAAGTCACGATCTTCTAATGGAAACCCAACGCTCCCCAACCTTTTATCCCCCCCATTCCACTCCTTCCAAAAGAATTCAATCTGCATTCAATATTGATTTCATTCAAAGATATCGCACTTTTCCCCACTTGATTTGCAGTGATTTACTCCTCACGCGTTTTTCCCCTTCTTCGCGCGTACATTCAGATGTATTCAAGAGTTGACGTCGATCAATCTTGGCAGATGGA